ATTTTCCTTCAGAAGGCACTGCTTTCTCCATTATCTTCTAGTTTCCAATCCTATAATTCCTGACCCTATCTATGTGACTTGTAGATATTCTTTTGTCTTTGTAGTGCTCAAAATTTTCATAATGATGTGCCCTGGCATGGCTGTTTTTTAATTACTATAATTGCGCTGGATTCTTGGGGTCCTTTTAATTTGGAAACTCATATCCTTTGGTGTTGAGAAATTTTATTTTGCATGATTTCTTCATGCCATCAAACAACCACCACCCACCATTCCTCCTTGTTACAGACAGCTACAAACCTCCTGAGTCATTCTGTCCTCCACATTCCCCGAAGAGTTTAGATTCTGGACCACTGTCTCTTTTGCTACTGCCACTCCCACATTAGTTCATGATATCCTCAACATGCACAGATACTCCTTCCACTGTCTTTACCTTTCAGTCCCTTTACTCCTGTCTTCTAATGATGTCCTCTATCCTACCTCAGCTACTCCCTCCCACAGTGCCCACATCCAAGCAGCTCAGTACATCCGAAGGAAAAGCATACAACCATGCTAACTGGGTTTCACCTTAAGTTATGACAACAAACAAACACCAAATGGGTACTTTTGGTACTGCCTAGCAATCCTAAAATATTTCCTTCTTCAACTCATTCTTTTCCATTCCCCTGGATGAATGCTATACCTTCTTTCTCCTCAAACTTCCAACACCTCCTCCATTCTTCATTTTTAGCTGACAGACTTCCTTCTTATTTAGCTGAAAACACAGACGTAATCAGAAGAGAACTTCCACTTTCTCTTACCACAAAGCTACCACTACATCAGCATTTGTGTCCATATAATCACCAAAGATGAACAGTCCATGCACTAATCTAGACTGAGGTCAACATATCCATTTATGTCCTAGATCCCATTCTCCCATTCAAGGACTTCACTCCTGCAGTTGTCCCTTCTCTCTCTTTAATAATCAATTTGCCTCTCTGTACTCCATCATTCCTGTCAACTTACAAGCATGCTATAATTACATCTGCCCACCTAAAAAACAAAAAGGACTCTAACATTCATGCCCCTCCAGCCATAGCCCTATTACTCTGCTTTCCCTTATAACAATCCTTGAAACAAAATCACTATGACTATATTGACTGTCAATTCTTCTCCTCCTATATTCTCTTGAACTCACTACACCAAAACTGTTCTTGTCAAAGTCACCAATGACCTTCACATTTCCAAAGCTGACAGTCTATTCTTAGTCCTCAGCAGTCCATTAACAATATTTATCACTTGTCTTTCTAGGATTGTCCTTGAATCTTCTTCTATCTCAGAGGAAGGAAAACATTTTCCCTCCAAAGTTGGAAGATGTTGCTATACTTCTCTTTTCTACATGGGATAGCCCAGGGCTTGGATGTTGGCCCTCTTCTCTATCTACATTTACTCTCTGCATCTCTATCCAGTCTCGCAGCTTTATTCATTCATTTATTTACTGTTTGTTTTTTAGAGAGAGAGGAAAGGAAAGAGAGAGAAACATCGATTTGTTGTCCCATTTATTTATGCATTCATTGGTTGCTTCTTGTATGTGCCATGACCAGAGATCGAACCTGCAATCTTGACGTACCAGGATGATGCTCTAACCAACTGAACTTACAGGGCCAGGGCCTAGTCTCACAGCTTTAAATAAAAATTTGAGGGTCATCAGCATATGGGTGGTATCTCCAGTCTCAATCTCTCTCCTGAACTCCAGACTTATATATCCAACTGCCTATCCAATAACTCCACTTGGATATCTAATAGGCAACTCAAAATGAACATGGCCAAAATGGAACCTTTATTTTCCCCATAAACCTGCTGTTATTCCAGTGTTACCAAATCAGTAAATGGCAACTCCATTCTTCTAACAGTGAGCCCCAAATCAACTGTGCCCTCTTACATTATTGTTCCTTCAGCCCTATTTCTTCCTCGGTACTTACTTATCACCACTTTGTATTACAATTTTTATTGTTTTGTCTCTTTCCACTTACACAGGAGATCTTTGAGGGCATGCGCCTGCCTTATTTGTTTGAATCCACAACACCTAGCACAGTGTATGTTGGATTATTTGTATAAAGAGGCAGTGAAGTTAAACAAATCCTGAGAAGGATCAGATACCTCTTCAGAAAAAGATTTTGAAGTAGAAAAGCATATTTTCCACTGGTTCCTTAGTACAAGTTAAGATAGGTACTTGGTAATAACTCCAAAATCTCAGTGGCTTGAAACAACAAGGTTTATTTCACTCTACATTTCAAACATAAGTCACCTGGGAAGCTTGCTCTGGGTCACATACTGGTGGACTAGCCACCATCTGAAACACCAACAGTCACCACAACAGAGGGAAAGAGAGTGGTAAATTACATACCAGAAGGTATAGCATCATTCCTGAGCATATTTCACTGACCTAAAGCAACTCACAAGGCCATTCCCAAACCCAACTTCAAGGGGGCAAGCAAGTACAATTGTTATCACATGCCCAGGAGACAGAAACCAAAAATATTTGATGGACAGCACTAATGACTACCATATCCTTAAAACGAAGCTTCTAGTTCTAAGCAACAAGATTTTAACACCTGATCTCTATTCCTCATCTGTGAAAATAAACACCATTACTAAACCACACACTTGCAAAATACTATCCATGGGTCTTTAGGAATGTAACTTCACCAGTCAGGCCTGCCCCTTTCATCACTCAGAAGTCAGAGTTAAGCAAAGAAGCCAAGTATGAGTGACAGGAAAGTGCTGAGACCAAATGTGCTAGAAATGTTCAATGTCAAAAATCAAGCAAAGGCTGGAATGGGTAAGAAAAGCATGCTCAGTTATGCAGAAGTGGGGAAAGGAGGGGAATCTTCAACAAATTTCTTTTACCAAAGGTATAAAACAGTCAGGTCTTGGGGTTCCTTGCACTACCCCTTGTCTGAAGACTAATGAGTTTTACTCAAACTATTTGGTAGAAGATTCAGAGTTGGATTAGTAAAGTTAACCAACATTTATCTTTTTAGCATAAAACATTACTCTAAAAATAGCTGCACATGGCCATGTTTTTAGAAACAGGGAAGGCAGCAGTTTATTTTAGAGATGGATTTTACTGGGAAGCTCTTTTTTCCCCTTAAATGTCTCAAAGACTCAAGATTTCTAAGCTCAAGATGATCTGGGCCTGTACTGGAGTAGCTCAGCCGTTGAGCATCAACCTAGGATCCAGGAGATTGCGGTTTGATTCTCAGTCAGGGCACATGCCTGGGTTGAGGGCTTGGTCCCCAGTCCGGGGCGTGCAGCCGATCAATAACTCTCTCATCATTGATGTTTCTATCTCTCTCTCTCCCTCTCCCTTCCTCTCTCTGAAATCAATATATATATATATTTTAAAAAAAGATCTGGGATGAACCCCAAGTCTACAGAGAGCCTGGATTTAACAGATGATTGTTCCAAGTTCTAAAGTATTCTGTGCAGTTTCATTCTATGTAAAGTTCAAATACTTCGTAACAGTGAAACTGGCTGCCAGAAATGTTAGGATGTTAGGATGGATTGGAGATGGCTATCATAAGCAGCTAAACACCCGGAACTGTTAAATCCACAGGGAATTCCATTGAAGGGCAGAGCAGGAGTTCAAACAATGTCACCTGCCAAATTAAAAGCAAACAAGGACTCACAAATGCAACCATGGGAATCTAGCTTCCCCTCTCCTATCCTTTATTCATTCAACAAACATGCATTAGTTGCTGGGAAGGAATGCTAGGAAGTAAGAGAGGAACAGGATTCTAAGATTTAGTTCTTGCTCTCCATTAATTTGGCTTATTTAAAAGAAACCAAAAACAAATCGGTGAGCAAGCAGTTAAAAATACGATCCCTTAATCACTACAAGGGTATAGAAAAAGCAGTTCTAACATCTAAGTTCAAAATCTCCTTTCAAGGGAACAATACCATATTTGCTTTGCTAAGTAGCTAAAAGAGAGAAAAAAGCAAACCAAAAAAAACCCTCTTCTGGTTTAATGGCAGTTTAGCAGTGCCAAAGCCCATTTCTTTCTCTCACCGTCCCTCCCTCTCAATGGTCTCCGCCGCAACCCCTCCATCATTCCAACCTCCATATTCCGCAGGCAGTCCCAGGCCAGCTCCATCACAAACAATGCCCGGACTATCAAGGTCACAAGGAGCCCAAAGGCACAAGGAACAGAAATCGAAAACAGATCTTCCTTTATCGAAAGGGGGCGGGGACCCTCCCCAATAGCACCCTCCCCAGTAGCACCCTCCCCATACCGAGGCACCCGGGAGTTCTGTCTCTAGGTTCAGGGGCCTGGGATCCGCCGCTTTCGGGGTTCCTGGGCCTCTTTTTCCTATCCAACCAGTTAGTTTTCCCTCCTGCGCCCCTAATGACCTCCAGCTTCCCCCAACCTGAGCTTCCCTTTGTGGAGCGAGGGAGCGTCGCGAAGCAGGCTGGCGCGGGGGGAGACGAGGAAATGCGCCATAGGGGAGATGCTGTCAGGGTTTGTATGCGGGTAGCGGGGAGGGAGGGGGTACTGTAGGGAAGCCTCGGTCAAGGGGAAAGGCACTAGAAGAGACTTAGGATAGGGGGCATTACAGATAAGCCTTTCCAGGGAAACCCATTTGGGGTTTCTATACAGGGGAGCTATTGTGTGTGTGCGAGTCTCTCTAGCGGTTTCTGGGGGCAATAATCTATGGGGCAGGCAAGTGACCTATCCGTAGAGAAGGCACTATGGAGATTCTCTACAGAAAAACCCTTGCAGCCGGAAACGTCGTGTAGAGGTGGGGATATCACAGTAGGGGGTCCTCCACGGGAGAGCCGTTGTGGGAGCCTCTACACATGACACCGTTCCTGGGGAAACGTTCCTCAGGGAGCCGTTTAAGGAAAAACCATCCGCTTGGAAGCCATGCCCGGCCACACCCTGTGCTCCGAGGCGTCGCCGGACCCCAACAACCCGCAATCCCCGGCCAGGCCGCCCCTCGGCAGCCTCGGCCCCGCGTACCTGACGGAGTGCGACCCGCGGCCGGGACCGCCAGGAGACCACGCGCGGGGCAACCCCAGCCGGTGCGGGGGGTACACGTCCATGGCGGCAGGCGGCGGGCAGCAGAGGAGAACCGTGCCGCTGCGAGGGTCTTACAGGCCAGAGGGGCGGCTCCGGGGCCTTTGCAGCCGGGCGG